CAGTTCATCAGGGAGCCCAAGGTAGGAACTCAGGGCAGGAACCTGGAAGCAGGAGCTGGGCCACAGGCCATGGAGGAACGCTGCTTACTGGCTTGCTCCCCTGGCCCCTGCTCAGCTTGCTCTCTTATCCAACACAGGCCCACCTGCCCAGGGTTGGCACTACCCACAGTGGGCTGGGTCCTCCCACATCACTCAACAATCAAGAAAATGCCCCTCAGACATGGCCACAGGCCAGTCCAATGGAGGCAATTCCCCGATTGAGGCTCCCTCAACCCAGATGTGTCAAGTTGACATTAAAGCTATCCACACACACATGCATCATTTTTTGCTTTACACTAGTTTATGAATTTGCTGTTGTGTAAGTTCAGAATTCAATAACATTGAGCTCCTAGTATATAATTAAAAATAGGATTAGGATTAGTATCCTCCTAAAGCTTCTGCTCCCTCTCTAACTCACTCAGTGTTCTGCAGCTCTGGGAGCTATTAAGAGGTTCTCTTTTTGTGAAGTCATATGATGTATAGATGGTGGCCTTTCATGTGCATTGGTGGTGGACTTTTACAGACCCGATCTGGTAGATATGGAGAGAGTGCAAATCCAGAGTAACCGGGAGAATCTGGAACAGGCTTTTGAAGTAGCAGAGAGACTAGGGGTTACCCGATTGCTGGATGCAGAAGGTAAGAATCCATTGAATTTAAGTACATTTGGCATGTACTCATAATTCCTTTTCCCAGCAGGTTCCTTTGTTCTGACTAAGAAATCTCTTATCCTTCCTTTCAGATGTGGATGTGCCATCTCCAGATGAAAAGTCTGTAATCACTTACGTGTCTTCAATATATGATGCCTTCCCTAAAGTCCCTGAGGGTGGAGAAGGGATTAGTGCTACGGTAAAAGAACATTTTCCTAAAACACCTTGATTTGTTGAGGTGGAATGCCTCAAATAGTGTTTCTTAAATTCTTATGTACAGAGCATTTTTCCACAGGCCACCTGCCTCTACATTATTTTTATCATTAATGGACCTTGTCCCTGAAAATGAGCTTAGGTATTGCTAATTTTGTGTCATCTAACATAGACCATTTGATGTTTCATGCCAGCAAAGATTGTCCTTCTCAGCCTCAGCTATAGTTCAAGATGAGACAGTGTTTTCTCAGTCACTGATATCAACTTGATTAGGTATATCATGAATATGTGCCCTAGACTGACCTTGAACTCATGGTCCAACCTCAGCCTCCTGAGTGCTGGAATTAAAAGTGTGAACTACCATGTCTGGCAAATATCATGGATCTTATTTCTAATAGCTTAGTTTATAGACTTTCTAGATGCCAAGATATTGAATGCCAGCTTGTGAATCCTTGAGGAGCTTTGAAACTAAGACTCTGAGCATTAGCCTGAGCACCTGCCCAGGCAATTAGAAGGAAAGGGCTTTATATGGTTTGGGGTGACCTGAGTTGGTTGGCCTGTGCTGCTTCTGGATATTGCAAATCTGGTATGTGATGTTTACCTTACAATACTAGGAAGTGGACTCCAGGTGGCAAGAATATCAAAGCCGAGTGGATTCCCTCATTCCCTGGATCAAACAGCACACAATCCTGATGTCAGATAAATCTTTTCCCCAGAACCCTGTTGAACTAAAGGTAAAGTCTTAGACTTAAGTTGCTTTCTATAAATTCTCTCTAGGGAGTAAGCCTCAGAGCTTGTTGCTACTGGCTCTGGTGACATGTTATGCAAAATTGGTGTCTGTTGCTTGTATCTATTCATTCATTCATCAAATATTAATTTTGTAGGCACTTTATAATCAATATATACACTTCAAAGAAACAGAAATTCTGGCCAAGGAGAAAGAAAAAGGAAGAATCAAAGAGTTATATAAATTATTAGAGGTAAGGAGGCCTATCTTTGACTAACACTTGGGGTTACTTGTTTATTGTTACTTCCTATTAGAATCCCTTTTACCCTTGGCGTAGTCTTAATTTTTCTTTTTTTTGGTCTTTTTGAGACAGGATCTCCCTGTAGCCCCAGCTGTCCTAGAACTCACTTTTTAGACCTGGCTGGCCTTGAACTCACAGAGATCCGCCTTCCTCTGCCTCTTGAGTGCTGGGATTAAAGGCGTGTGCCACCACGCCCAGCTATAAACTCTTTTTATAAGTTGCTTTGGTCAGTGTTTCTATCACAGCAACTAATACAGTGGAATCAGGTTCAATACAACTGACGAAGCTATAAATTCCTATTGTTTAACTGTCACTGTGCTAAACTGAAACAGTAAAATTCCATCATTTGGGAATATAATAATTTGAAAAGGTACATGTGTCAGCTGTCTGCATGATAATGCTATGTAACAAACCACTCTGATTTTACTGCTCAAAGACTCTTTTAAGATTTTTTTGGAGACAGAGTCTCCTTGTAGCCTCAGCTGACCTGGAGCTAGCTGTGTAGACTAGGCTGGCCTCTATCTCACAGAAATCAATCTCCCTCTGCTTTCCAGGTGCTGGGGATTAAAGGTATACACCACCATGCCTGGCTAACTGTGTTTTGTTTTTTTTTTTAAGGAGTTACTGAAAAACAGCATATCTCTTTGTAGAAATCTTGTTTTATGGATTTTTTTTCTTGCTTTTTAGAGGAAAGCTAAATCTTCCTCAGATAAAAGAGACTTCTGTTCACATTTTGATTCATAGAGAATTTGAAGCTATAGAATTAGGCCTTTTTCAAATTAATTTATTTTTATTTTATGTGTACAAATGCTTTGCCTACGTGAATGTAAGTGCGCTACTTGCATGTAATACTGGCAGAGGCCAGAAAAGTGCATTAGATCCCCTAACCAGATTTATAGGTGGTTGTTAGCTGCTATGTCATATTAGGAACTGAGCTCCTGTAACTCTGGAGGAGCATCCAGTGTTCTTAATTGCTGAGCCATCTCTACAGTCCCCAGAGTTAGACTCTGGGAATCATTTAGAAAACAGCAAGATTTCTAGAAATGATTGAAGGAATGGAAATGTTGAGACCAGGTAGTCTCTGCATGTTAGAGGTTATATATAATTTTTTTTTGTCTTTTAAGGTGTTAGATAATTTGATTCCAATATTAGTGCAAAAAACTACTGATTGGCTGGACAAGAAAAGTAAGAAGCAAAGTATAAGTAATAGATGAAAATAGACCTGAGAGCAAGGCAATGGTTTTGGACTAAAAAGTTTCTCTTTCAGGTTTGGATTGAATTTGGCAGAATTAAGCTGCCTCAAGGTTACCACCCTAATCATGTAGAAGAAGAGTGGGGGAAACTCATCATTGAAATGCTAGAGCGAGAGAAATCCCTGCGGCCAGCTGTGGAGAGGTTTGTCCAGAGGGAGATCTGACATTATCTAATATTCCTTAGGGCATACTTTGAACCATGTACTTCATTATCTTTTTTTTTTTTTTTTTAAAGGCTGGAATTGCTGCTACAGATTGCAAACAAAATACAGAATGGTGCTTTGAACTGTGAAGAAAAACTGACACTAGCTAAGAATACCCTGCAGGCTGTAAGTATTTGCTTTGTCTTACAGCTTATGTCACATGCTTTCCACTTTTCACCCACTGCTGTAACAGTCAAAGTTAGCAGTTAAGAATCCAGCTGTGTTACTTCCTTTTTCTTGGAAGTGCAGTGGCCTTGGATCCCTCCATCCTAGGTAATGAGAACTATGAAGTTTACCCACTTCTGTTTTGTCTTTCTGCCAAAGGATGCTACACACCTGGAATTAGGACAGCCGGTACAATGTGAGTCAGATGTCATCATGTACATTCAAGAATGTGAAGGTCTCATCAGGCAGCTGCAGGTGGATCTCCAGATCTTAAGGGATGAGAATTACTACCAACTAGAAGAGCTGGCCTTTAGGTGAGGATCAAGAGGCTTGTAAGGAGGGCTTGCTTACTGTTGAGGCTTTATGAATCAAGATTGAGTCAAGAACCAGACACTGAATCTTTCAATTACATCTCAGACTTCTATGACTTAGTGGGGATACTGCCAGCATAGTATTTTGGGCAGGAAATTTCTTGAGGTAGATGATAGCTTCCCCTTTTGCATTCCCTTCCCACTAAGTGCCTATAGTATTTTCCCAATCATCATGTCATCTTCTAATATCCTCATCTATTTCAGAATGACCTACCAAAGGTATGATAGATAGGACATTTAGTTTTGAAATACAGATGGTGGAATGAATTCATTTTATAGAGGAGGAAACTGAGATCTGCAGAGAGGATGAAGAATGTCTAAAGTCACATGGCAGCCCATTGCTTATTCTGTTATATCCTCCAGGAGTCATCTAAATATTACTTTGCTTCCTTCCAGTTAACACTATAATTTTGAAGACTCAAAACTAGATAATGTTAAAATGTCACTTTGCATTTATGTAACACTTTTTCAAAACACTGTCCTGCTATGATCTCATTTTTATTTTTATCATGTTCTTGTTAAATAGATAATGAAGATTTTATTTTAAGTATGTTACAGACTTAAATCTCTTTTCTTACATTTCAGGGTCATGCGTCTGCAGGATGAGCTAGTCACCTTGCGTCTGGAGTGTACAAGTCTGTACCGGAAGGGCCATTTCACTTCACTTGAATTGGTTCCACCCTCTACTTTAACCACTACTCATATGAAAACAGAACCTTTGAGCAAGACAACTCATTCTTCTTCTACCTCCTGGTTCCGAAAACCCATGACTAGGGCTGAGCTTGTATCTATCTCTTCCTCTGAAGATGAAGGCAATCTCAGATTTGTATATGAGCTACTTTCTTGGGTAGAAGAGATGCAGGTGGGTGTATGTCCAGAAAGCTTGTGGATGTACTAATGTTTACTGGATTTAGCAGCTTGTCCAAGAAAACCAGGTTACTCTGTGTTCCTTGTAGAGAGAACCTTAATTATTGATTCTGTCTGAACCTTGCCCTTAAACTATTTAGACCATGCTGTCCTAGGGTGGCTTAAACTCATGATCTTCCTGCCTCTGCGTCCTGAATGCTGGGATTTACAGGCATATGCTACTGCGCCTGAGGATTTGTTTCAAATCCTCACAATCCCACACTGTATAGCATAATAGGCTTTTCTGACTTGAAGCCCTTTAGCAATCTGTTCCCCTCTGTTAACTGTGCCCTAAGTGGAAGCTTGTGGAAAAATTGTAATGCCTAGAAATCTCAGTTATCTTTTCTAAAATTTCCTCACTGGTTGAAGAGTTTATTCTTAAGTTTTTGTTGTTGGTCTTTGCCTCTTAAGTTTCAACAGGCTGAATTCAGAGTTACTACTTATTATGTTATAGGCTAATGATTAAAATTTGATATTGTCCTATGCCAGGCATAGTGGCATACACCTTTAATCCCAGCACTCAGGAGACTGAGGCAGGAGGATCATGAGTTCCAGACCATTCTGGGCTACAAGGCAGGACCCTGTCTCAAAAAACAACAATAAAAACACAAAGACAGATAGAAAAAAAAATTATTCTATTGGCTGATGAATGAAACTAAACCTTTTTTTAGATAATTTATCTTCCCTGTGAAATGAAGGGACTCGTAATGTTGTTTGTTCGTTTTGTTTTGTTTGAGATAGGATCTCACTATGTAGCCCTAGCTGGTATAAAACTCACTGTGGCCTTGAACTTAGATCTGCCTGCCTCCCAAGTGCTAGGATTAAAGGTGTGCACCACCACACATGGCGAAATGAAGAGACTCCATAAAGGAAAATGTCTGAATATTCAGCCTGTTAAGACTCCTGATTAATAAAGTCAGGAATATATTTTCATATGCCATTGCAAAGTTCTGCCTCCATTGCTGTAGTGGGTAGGGCTTCCTCAATAGCCCCTTGGAGGTTGATTATAGTGTATTGCTCTGTAAGAAACCATGGAATGGTAGAGATGGTTTAGACACCTTGTTGCCCAGTCTTTACCCCTAGCCATCTTGTTTGTTTGAGTCAGGGTCTCATGTAGCCCAGGAGAGTTTAGAACTCCTGACCCTCCAGTCTTCTAAAGTGCTGGGATTATAGGTATGTGCCACTATCTCTGGTTCTTTCAGCTAGCCATCACATCCAGATGTTGACTCTGACGATTTTTTTTCCTCAGCAGTAAATTATAATGTGTCTGTGGATTTCTTTTCCAGATGAAACTGGAACGAGCAGAGTGGGGCAACGATCTGCCTAGTGTAGAGTCTCAGCTAGAAGCACAGCAGCACATCCACACCAGTGTAGAAGAGCTGGGCTCAAGTGTCAAAGAGGCTAGGTTGTATGAGGTGTGTAGCATTCAGAATCCACATTCTAAGAGTTGCAGGGAGGAGTGGGTGATGGGATGGTATGTGCAGCACAGAAGTTTCTAAGAAGGTGCTCCAGGAAAGAATGTGCCTGAGGAATAGCACTGTGCAACTTATTTTCATTTTATATAAAGTGTCTCTGTCAACCCTTGAAATAACTGTGGGAAACGTATTTTTACTTCTTTGTACTTAAAAAAAAAAAATTGTGATACTGGGGACTGGAGAGATAACTGAGCAGTTAAGAGCCCATATTGCTCTTACAGAGCACTTAGTTTGGTTCCTAGCACCCACATCGGACGGCCCTCAACTGCCTGTAACTCCAGCTCCAGGGGCTATAATGCCTCAATTGCACAAACCTACACACACAATTAAAATAATAATAATAT